AATCCAGAGCAAAACCAGTTACAAAAACCAGTTTAAACCAAGTCTAAAAGCAGACTGGAAAGAGTCTAAATTAGTCTCAAACTAGTCCAAACCAGTGAAAAATCGAACCAATCTTTCAGGGACACTGCTAACATTTAGATGGAAATCTCATAATAACTGAAGTAAACCTTTCTGTACAGTTTCTTTGCTCATTACGCAAAACTGAAGTCTGCTTCACACAAACACAGGCCTGGAAATGATCAGTAACTTAAAGCAGAGTAGAAGTTTGTCTGTTTTGTACTCAGTTAAAGCGTCTAAACGTGGTTCTGTGATGTTTTTAAGACGACGTGGCAGCAGACCAACTGAAACCACGTCAAACAAGTCGTCGCTGTGGCTCCACTTGGTTTAAACGGACTGACAGGAAGTCGAGTGTAAACTCTGCAAACAGCAGATCCAAAATAGCAGAACATCTAAAACTTAAACTAACTTGGTGCACTGCTGGAAATAGAACAGAAACACGAGTAAACTCTGGCCTGATTCACCTTTTTGTACAGTTTCAAAACTAAAGTCAGCATCACCTGAAAAGCAGAAGTTAGTCGGTTCTGCTGTTTGTTTTCAATTGAAGCATCCAAACGCGGTTCCGTGACGTTCATGAGCATTAAATGGAAGTTTTTCACATGTCTTGTCTTTACCGTGGACGTCGTGTTCGATCCAGGTGAAGGTGATCGCGCCCTCTCTGCTGCTTTCACTGAACCTGAGCAGGAAGGTTCCCGGACACTTGTCGCTCAGCAGAGCCTTCTCCCTCTCCTTGCTGATGAAGCCCATGATGGAGCTGCACAGAAACCACAACGTGAGCTCAAATCCCATCTTCTGGGATATTTTACGGCGGCAGCAGCAGCAGCAGCAGCAGCAGCAGCAGCACTCACCCGTCATTCCACAGGGACAGCAGGTGTCTTTTAATCAGATCCAGGATTCCTTCGATCCACAGCCAGAACGGGAAAGCTTTCTCGTTGGCACTCTGCTGCTGGACACATGAGAAAACATCCTCATAATTAAACTCCGTCTTCGGTTAAAGGAGTTAAAAAAAACGCTGCAGACGGGCTGAAACTCACCTTGCAGAACTTGGTCCAGGGGATCTGTCCCTCTGGGTTCCTCTGAGCTTTGGCTCCTGTACACAAGAATTCACATTTTCACTTCAATCAATCCAAATAACAGCAGCGCCCTTTATGTAATGACAAGCCGGCGTCTTCAGACTGATCTTTGTGTTTAGTCAGACTAGCAACACGTTCACAGCTCAACAAATATGACACAGCTTGTGTTGAAGCTGTGGTGCTCCACAGTATTTTAATTACGCCTGATTTATTCATGTTTTGTTCCAGAGTGTCATGTAAGATTTGAAAATGTAGTTTTTTCCTTGCATCTGCATCCTCGTTTTTCTTCAATCATGTTGCTCAGAGGATTAAATCTAACGACTTTTTATCATCTAACAGCGTTCCGATTAGTCTCAGCTGTATTTCATTGTGTGCTAAGAGGCTAAATTAGGATTAGCAGCCTGGTTTAATGCACTGTTAGCATGTTAGCACATTAGCGTTTAGCCCAAAGACTCCACCCTGTCTCTGGATATCCACAGACGTTTGCAAGTACACTTGATATTCTAATTGCATTTGATGCATTTTTAAAACATCGACAGCAAAATTTTAAAATTAATCTCCACATTAATTCACGTAAAGCTGATAAATACAATCATCTGAATGGCTCCTGCAGTAAACTGTGACTTAGTTCAAGTACAGTTTGCTTATTAAATGTACGTTTTATGATTAAAGTCACAGAGCTTTATCTATAGAGCTGAATGTGAAACGTCTAACTGCAGATTTCGAGGACTCGCAGACACCCTGATGTGTTTGTTAACACCAGCTGTGAATGCGTCGCTCGTGTACTGAGTCTGACCGAGCAGCTTGTCGGCGAGCATGTTGAGCTGCTCCTGGTTCAGGCCTCGCTTGGTGACGGAGGAGAACTGCCAGCTGAGAACCTCGGACAGCTGGGACCACTTGGCCGGCGGAGGGGAGAGGAAGAACTTCAGGTTCTGGAAAACAGGAAAGTCCGTCAACTCCGGAGCAACGGTAACGTAAAGATGAGGAGTGACATCAGCGCGTCCTCACTTTGGGCTCGGTGGTGAGCATGTTGTACCAGAGGATGGAGGCCCAGCCGCTGGGCAGCTGACAGACGTTGGAGATGACGACAACAGGCAGAGACATGGCCTGCAGGGCACGACAGCAACACACAAGTCAGCAACAACAACGTGATGTTAGACTTCAGCTCTGCACAAGTCCTGTTTGTGTCTCGTCTCACCTCCAGCTTGATGTCGAGTCCAGACTGGTTGAGCTGCAGCTCGGACTCGAAGCTGAGCGAGTGAAGCTCCTCGGTGACGATCAGAGGCCCCTGAACAGACGGACACACACTCAGCTCGCACAAAACGACAACGACACAACGCAAAAGTCCCACAACTGTCTGCAGGAAACACGTGAAGCTCCAAAGGTTTCTAAGTGTATATCTAATTTAGCTTTAAGACAGCTTTAGCACCACATTAACAGCATTTTAACACCTGTCGCCATCACACACATAAAAACATGATAGAAGATCAGCAGGGGCAAAAAATACGACAATTATCACATCACATTTCCTAGTGATGCTATTAATGCTATTAATGCAGGATAAATATGCTAAATATAGAGATTTTTTATCATGTATGATCGTAAACGACATGTATTTGGACAGCAGCTGAGAAACTATATTTAAGACTTATTAAAATATCTTCTAAGGCCTTTAGGGGGATAATAAATTCTTGCAAATGTGCAAAATTGCATATTTTTGTGGGGGAAAAAAACTAAATGCAGTGCACCAGAACTATGTTATGATGATTAAAAAGCAACTGCAAACAACTGGTGGCCCTTTCAGCATTTTGATTTTGTTAAATACGTTTAATAAAAACTAAAATAAACTCTACTTCCTGTAGCAGCACCATATATTCCAGTGTCACTGTGCGTTTCTTAAATCCTCCACCAGTCGGCACTAAAGTAAAACAAATGAACTAAAACGCAGGAATTTTAATTTCATGCTCCTGAAAACTGCAGACTTTTTTTTTTTTTTTTTAAATGATGAGCTTTAATCATTTTATTACAGTTTCTACAAATAAATTCACGTAAAAAATGTCAAAATATCTTGAAGGAGCTCTTTTGTAAATTATTCCCTGATTGGGCTCAACGGACACGTAACTGTCAGAACTAAAGATGGATGTGTGATTATTTCCTGGTTGACTTTGGTGCATTTTAAAGGCCCGTCAGTTAAGCAGGAAACCAAACGCCACAAAAACAAACATCCCTTTGAACTGAACGGCGTCTGAAAGGCTCTTACCTCGTTTGTTCTGTTGCCGGCTACTTTCTGCTCCTTCAGTTGCTGCATAAAGAACGAGACGACGTTACAGAAACACGTTATGTTCTGTCGCTTTCACAGACACGCTGCCTCCTTTATGGGCCTCGTCGATCCGCTGTGAAGCGATCAGACACGTTCATGCAAACCAAAGGCCAAAGCGGTCGTCTCACCAGATGTCTGAACTCTGCCGCCAGGCTGCCGTTGGACTCCTCCATGTTCATGACTTTGGTGTTCGTTCCCAAAATGTTGAACTTCCGAAACCTGATTTTAATAAACACTGTTAGAATTTTTCACTAATTAGTGGAAGCATCATGTGTTGGAGCGACTTTAACGTCATAAGATGCGTGTGGATATTTTTGAGTCGTACCCTTTCTTATCTGTGACGTCCCTGGAGGGGAGAAAAGAAAAGCGTGTCATCGTTTTAAAAACGTGCAGGTGTTCAGATTTTAAGCAGGAAAAACAAACTTGTGAAAAGCTCACTTGTCAAACACAGCTTTGACCTTGAGCTGGTAGTTAAACTCCTGCAGCTTCACCAGGAACCTGCACGAAATGGAAACAAGAAGGTCGACTGAAACAGGAAACTGATCTGCAGATAAATGACGTCTGATTTAGTGTTTGCTTTTCATTTGGCTAAAAGATCTTTTTTACAGCAAAACAGGAAAACCTCAGATGCAATACATAAGATTTAAGATTTATTAAAACTTATTTGTGTCTCTAAATTTAGTTCATCTTGGCTGATTCATTTAGTTTTGGGCCTCGCTGTGGTTTTCCTGCCTTAAAATGTCAAAACATTTACAGGGAAACCTAAAGTGTCTGTTATTGGTGAGCTCAGAAGATTAAAAACATCTTTCTGCAGCAGAGACAGGAAACATTTCCTCACCAAGGTTTAGCGAACGACCATATTGATTATCAGTCGATCAGATGCAAAACTGATTTATCATTTCGACCATAAAAAAGTATTTAAAATAAAGACCATCACAAGGTCGCACATGCAGGTGGAAAATCCCACTCACAATCACATAAAACAGAAAAAAACAAACTAATTCTCATCGTTTAGGGATCTGAATTATTATTATTATTACATTTTATATCACAGAACGCTTCACTGCCACTTATCATAGTTGTGTTTTTACATACGAAGCTGTACGTTGCTTTTTGTTATTAAGGGATTGAGGGCATGATTGAGGGCCAGTCCAGCTGTTTCACCTGGACTGGTTTAACTCTCGTTCCTTACCGGAGTTTCACGGTAAACTGGACGCCTGTTTTCAGCACCAGCGGCCTCTGAGGGTGGGTGGGCATGCAGGGCTGCCTCTCTACGACCAGCGAGCTGCACAGACAGGCGACAATCAGCACCGACGGCCAGTAACGAGACGGTCAGTAAATCGTGACTGTGGGGGTTTCCTACTTGGAGAGGAGGTTCTTGAGGAGCTCCAGAGCTCGGCCCTCCAGGAAGGCTTTCTTCTGCGTGATGGGGTCGCTGTCGTAGGTGAACTTCTGCTCCAACTCCTGCAGCTTCTTCAGGTGCTGACGGACCTGCTGGAGGCTCTCTGCCACTGCCGTGAACCTGCAGGAAGAGGAGGAGAAGCATGTGGAGGAGGCGAAGGAAAAAGCAGAGCGAGGAGGTGAATGTGACGGACGAAGGAGGGGAAGAGTCACCAGTTCTGCAGCTGGTCCACGCAGGCGTTGGGCGGGCCGCCGATGCAGGCGATCTGCTGCCGCTGCTTCCACTCGGGCAGCTCCTCGGAGATCAGCTCCGTCAGCAGCGCCTGGGTGATGTTCAGGAGGTCGGTCAGCTGCAGCACCACGTCCTGACAGACAGCAGAGGTCACACGACGGTCAAGGCTTTGGTGGACACGGCATCCGACATGAACAGCACCTCAGGTTGTGTGTTTGTTACACAGCTCGTGTACAACTAAACATAAAACCATCAGCGTCTCCCTGGTGTCCCACACAAGGACCTCCTGTCGATGAGAGAAGAACGCTTACAGGAATCACTTCTTTCAGCTTTTCTTTTCCCGTTGTGCTGTCACGTCCAACGTCTTCGTGAACATTTCCCAACTAGGTTTACGTCTCAATCTCTAGTTTCAAGTCTCCTTTCACACAACATGGTGTTCTTTTTGTAAATTATGGTTCCATATATTTCATAACAACAGCAAAACCACGAACCAATGGTGGCGACACGTTCGATTATCTCGACATCCATTAATCTGCTTAGAAACCGTGAAAACCTCAGAACCAGCCAGAGAATCATCAAGTTTTCTTTAGTGTCCCAGAAATCCAGTGAACCTCCAGTTAGAAAAATTAGCCGCTGGTCGCTAATTCTGCTTCTTTTATTGGTGCCAGTTGGGCAAAATGTAAACTAATCGAGGCTCAAGGTGGAGCTAAATCCCTGAATTCGAGGCAGTATCATTCTTCCTGTTAAACAAAAAAATGTAATTATGTTGTGAAGCAAAGAAGCAACAGAGACAAAGGCACAGTATAAGAATTCCTAAGAAAGAAAAATATCAGACTAATAATTATCTTGTATCCCATTAACAGACCTAAAAAGAGGAAGGATATAAATGCTAACATTATAATGATTGTTAACATTATGAGAAACTGCTCACCTGACGTTTAGCTTTCAGCTCCATGCACATCCTCCCAATCGTAAGCTTCTCCTTCTCCAGCTCCTTCGGCGTCATGCCGTTCATTTCATTCTCTACAAAAGAAGAAAAACACAAATTTAACCTGCTTCAAAGAGCAGCTTCTCCGACAGAATGATATTAAATGATAAACTTGTTTTACTCGTGTGGCCTTCAGGGAATCATCACACTCTCAGAACATGAAATCGACGCCACTTCTTCTCACCTCTGTTCTTCAGTGTGTTGATCCTGAAGTCGTACTCGTCCTGCAGGTCTTCCAGGTTCTTGATGTTCTGATCCACCACCTGAGAGAAACGAATGCGATTTAATTCCGACGGGGCCAGGCCGGCATCACGCTCAACCTGAACCTGCTGCGTGGTGTGCTCTGTTTCACCTGGAGGCTGTCTTTCATCTCCTTCACGTTGTTGTCCAGCTTCTGCTTCTCCACCACCATGGCCGACACCGTCCCCTCGCCCTCCTGCTGCAGAAACACATCGGCGCTCTTTGAACAATCATGTTTTCAATGTCTGCCGCATTTACGTTGGTGATTCTTTGACAGAAAAACGCTAAATGTGATTCTTGTCTGCTGTTTGTGGATGTTCTGCTGGAGCCTGTTTGGGCAGATTTGTAACGAACAACAAGAAAATCTCTCTGATGTTAACGTGTAGACACCTCGACTTTTACGTTGGAATTGAAGCAGTGAAAAACACAATCCAAACACCTCTGTGAGTGCTATGCCACAGACAAGACCAAAGTGTCGTAGGAGGAGATGCCTCCTAGCTCCGTCCTCCTCTGCTGCAGCTTTTTACCTCGGCGCTCTTTGCACTGGCCAAGATCTTCTGCTCCTCCTTCAGGTTTCTGGAGATGATCATGGCCATGTGGACGGGATCTTCCTGGAACCGATCCTGGAGAGAGAGAGAGAGAGTCGCTCTGCATTTAGCATCCGTCACTAAATGTAGAACTGGATATTTTTCTGGTATATTATCGGTACTGGTAAGTTCTTGACCGATTACTGACTACTTCTGGTCTAACGCCGCCTCTTCTCTCTGTCCGTCTGTGGTCTCAGAAATGTTTCTCAAGCAGAGAAAGCTGAACAAGAAACACAAGCCGTGGCCACAAACACTGGCTAACGGCTAGCAGCTAAGTTAGCAGGCAGTCACAAATGAACCTGAAACAAGAGTCTGGAAAACAATAATTAATAAAGCCGTAAGATCTGGACCCTAGTGGGCGATAACAGTCACAGATCAGAGAAAGATTAAGAAAATAGAGAAGAGCAGCAGGACACAAACTGACTAATATGTCACATAAACAGAGGAGATACTTTCATCTCTCCAGTTCCTGTTTTACATATTCACTTGTAGTAATCCTTATTAAGGAACAAGACTAGTTCTGAATGACAGGTTCTCTGCCATCATCACACTGTACATCGGTTCCAAACATCGGCCTTTTTCGATTGCCAATAATCGGCCTCTCACCTGCAGGTTCCTCTTGATCTTGCGGATGTTGTGCTGCAGCAGGAAGTTGTTCTCCAGAGCGAAGCGGCTGTGCTGGTCGTCCAGCTGGGCGAGGAGGTCGTGGAACCGAACGGTGGCCAGCGAGTCCTGATACGCCACCGTGTCCCTGAGGAGGCCGACAGGAAACACAGCGAACCGAATGAATACCTCCACGACTGATGATTAACTGTTCAGTCAGTAAATGTCAGCGGACAGCGCAGCCAGACGCTCAACGAACAACTGCAAACCTGAAAATATGACATTTTACTTGATATAAAACAGAGAAAGTACAGAAACAAGAGGAGATTTGACAGTTTCCTGAACAATGTCGATCAAGTATTTGTTTCAGCACTAAATCCTCCTAAATATAAATACTTCCCTGCATGACTTGAATAACGAGAAGCTGATTCTGTGAAGCTCTGATGTCAGCTCATTGGCATTAATGTGATTTTGTGACTAAAAACAATGCATAAACATTCCAGCAACTGTGACGATCAGCTCGTCTGATTTTAAGTAATTCATCAGCTGCACGATTCTGAATAAAAGTTAAATAAAATGTCTGTGATAGATGTAAGACTGCAGAACGTGAAGGACATTTTGCAGGTTGCAGGTCTTCCTTTTTTTCTGTTGATGACGCTTCTGCTGCTCTCCTGTGTTGCTCAGTGTGTTTTCATGACCACAGCGACATCAGTAGAAAACGATGAAGCCTCCAGTTTTCAGGCAACAGTTAAATAAAAGGTCCGCTGTTATGCATTTGAACAGAAAATTTGACAAAAGGATTTCCCAGGAAAATAAGAATGACAAGGATTACTGCTTTTCAGGTGCAGTTCTGACTAATAAGAATTCCACACCTGTAAAAACGGCCACTTTGTTAGACATCACAACTATTAAAACTACTAATAATACTACTACTACTAATACCACAGGGTATAAAAGAAGCTTCTCACCAGTCGATGCTCTCGATCCACTTGCTCAGATACTGCCGGATGTCCATGGGGAAGGAGTCGTCGTACAGCTGGTCCACCTGCTCCAGGTATTTACAGTCCAGCATCTGAAGCTGGCACCACTGCGCCATCTTCTGGGGAAGGAGAGCAGCTTCATGAGGATCCAGGGTTCAAACTCTAATGCCCTTAGAATTGTTTTTTCCAAATTTCAGACTAGGTTTGCCGTGAATATAACCCGAGAGGGACGTTTTATGGTTGAAAAATAAGCATGCTAGTGCGGCAAAGCTCACCAAGTTACATATAAGACAGTTTCAACACCACACAGAATACAATTACTTTTTTTTGCTGGTAAATCCATGAAGGACTGATGTGAAACCAGGACGGACGTACAGTGTGGAGCTGAGCGGTCTCTTTCTGCTGTCACTTTGCTTTTGGTGGCGCACAGCACAAGAATTAAGGGAATCAGAAGTGCTGACTCAGTAATTATTCCACATCCTCCCTGACTCATTTCTGCTCCACGATATTTAAAGCGGAAACTAAAACTTAAAACTATAACCAAGAGATCTCTAATCTGTGAGGGTGATGAGTTCTTCAGGCTTTCGCTGTCGACAGGAAAATCCAAAATCGAGACATGTTTCATCAGTTTGTGCTGTATTGAGTTGAAAACAGACTCATCTTTGCATTTTAAAACCTTATAGTTACAGATATTACCAATAGTTGGTTAATAAACACGATTCTTCAGCTAAACACGAAGGTTGAAGGCTGCTGTTGCATCAATCCTTATTAGTAGAATTTAAATACATTTTTATTCTTATTGTCTTGTTATAAGCTGTCAAAAGGAATGCAGGAGGACGGTAAAGTCAGGATAGGTTTCATTTCCCCACTCTGCCTCCTGCATCGGTCTAATCAAAGCCTTCAGCAGGAATGTTCTCTGAACAATATCTCAGCAAACAGGATCTACATGTAACTAGAACCACTCAGGAGTGAGTAAAACACATCATATTCAGTTTTGCATGTACATGGGTGTACATAGTAGTGTTATTACACATCTGTAACACATTTCATATTTTTTATTTGTAGAGAATAATCCCCATCTGGCTGCTCTGGTCATCAGTGCAGCCCACCGAGCCTTGCTAGCTCTCATCAACCACACTCCGTTCAGAAATATGGCTTTTTAAGAGTTTCTGGTAAAACGTCACACATTGTTGGTATTAGAATTAGATTCAACATCCCTATCTCCATGTTGGAGCTTCACTTATGAGTTCGGCCTGAATATAATTCACCTGATGTTATATTTTATACCATATTCACACCTTTACTATGAGGTAACCGGCAGTAATTTTAGACCTTTAGTAGTGGGCGGCGACGACCACGTCAACATGTAAAAAAGTTGATTTTGGTTTGAAATGCGACAGCTACAAGTATATGAAGTATACAAGTAGAAGCTATAGTTGCATTTACTGTCTTTCCTGCTTGACTGCTGTGACTTTTGTTGTTGTTGCTGAACCTCACCGATTAGCAAAGCCAAGTTCAACTGCTGTTTTTTTTCCCCTCAATGTAATAACAGAGAGCAGAATTAGGCTAAATAAAGCCTCAACGTGAAGAAACAAGAACTTAAACTTACCTTTTATGTTCAATAGACGTTTTCAATCTGTCACAAATGCTGCAGTGTTTCCGAAAAGGTTTATTTCGTAAATTGTGCAACGATTTTGCAAGACTGCGACTCAGCCTCTTTCTGCTGATGTACTGTACGGAAATACGGTCAGCCAATCACCACTTGGAATACCCGGGAAGGTTCCGCCCCTTTACTTGTACTAGCCAATCAGAATGACGAACAGGCGGCTCTTCTGTCATTTAGCATGTTTGCCCACATTAGCAAGATTACAAATGGTGATTTTTATTTAAAATCCTCTCAAATAAGCACAAGATCAAGCGTGACTGAGTATTTTACGTTTTATAAACTATCAGAGTGCCATACTGCCTCTGAAAAATATTTCACATCTTTTAAAAGCAAAAAAAGTTTGGTTTTGTCAGGGGGGAAGCCAATACACAGAACAGCTGAGAGTGAACCACGTGTTTTTCGAGAAAGAGAAAGTAAGTAGGACACTGCAACTCTGAAACTGAAACCTAACTCATGCAGAGGCAAGTTTGTGCTGTATGATGGTAAATTTGTCCAAAAATCAGATATAAAATATTATTAACATGTAAAATATAAAAATCTAATAACCAGTTCTGACCAGTGCTTCATAAACGTGTTTTTTCCTTCATTTTAGAATCGCAACTAAATGTAATCCTCATACTCATAATTTATTATTTTTAAAAAATAATTTAAGTATTTAAAGCAAAAACCGTGCAAAGCAATTGTCTAACAAGCATCTTGTGTACTTTTAATGATTTTTTTTTGCATTATGTTTATTGAAATAATGATCATTAATGGAGAACAAATAAGAAGAACACATTTCTGCAGCGATATTTTCCATTTTATGTGTAAGATTTTCTCTTGTCTGTGAAATAAACCAAGAAGTTAAACCTCAAACATGCATTCAGATGTCATTACTTGAGAAGTCTGACGTTAAAAACTTCACGCGCTCCACTTTGAAGGGTTATTGTTATAATAAAAGCTGATAATATTGTCCTAAATTTATCACTGACAGATACTTCAATGTGAATAGTTTCAGCAGTAATTTGAATATTGTTTCTATTAATCAAGCTTTTTTTTTTTTTTTTTAAGTCACAGCAATTTACAAACAATTTCAGTTTGCATTTTAAAACATAGTGAGGCAAGGGGTAGTGTTGTATTCACTGAATTTTACACATTCACAGAGTATTTATCTGTTCCTACAGAGTGCACAAAGCACCAGGTGCAGCATGTCCTCTGACAGACGTAAGCCAAAGAGATTCAACCTTTAATTTTGGCAGCATCGATTTAAAATAAGTCCTGTTGCTTGGGTGTACTTTGGCGCAGCCATGTGGTGGAAACAGAGAACATTTTAATGGATCCGTAGAGCTCAAAAATGTCTGAGTGTTAGGCGCCTATTCACTGAAAAAAAAAACATGAAAGTGTTTATTGAGGCTGAAAATTTTAATTTTTAAGTTTCTTGAAAGTATTCCATATTTGTTTTGTGTTTCTTTGTGGTGATTTTGTGACTCTCATTAGTGTTTTTGTCTTACTTGTTGGTGGTTTTGTATCTCTTTTTTCATGTTTTTGTCTTTTTGTGGTGGTTTTATTTCTATTTGTCGTGATTTTCTGGTTCTTTGTAATGTTTTTGTGTCACTTGTTGTTGGTTCTATGTCAGTTTATGGTGGTTTTGTGTCTCTTTTCTGTGTTTTCTGTCTCATTGTTATGATTCTGTGCCTCTTTGTGGTGATTTTGTGATTCAATTTAGACTTTGGTGGTGGTTTTGTGTTTCTTTGTGGTGATTCAGTGACTCTTATAGGTGTTTTTGTCTCACTTGTTGGTGTTGTTTTGTTTCATTGTGGTGGTTTAGTGTCTCTTTGTGGTGGTCTTGAATCACTTGTTGGTGTTTTGTGCTTTATTGTGGTCATTTTTTGACTCTCTTTGTGTTTTGAGTCATTTGTGTGTCGTTTCTTTGTCTCTTTTTGGCATATTTTGTCTCGTTGTGTTGGTTTTGAATCTGTCTATGGTGGTTTTGTGGCTCTTATACGTGTGTTCGTCTCACTTGTTGGTGGTTTTTGTGTCTGTTTGTTGTGGTTTTTGCTTTTTCTTTGTGCTTTTGTGTCTCTTGAGGTTGTTTTGTGTGACGTTTTGATCATTTTGTAAAATGAATCATTAAACCTCCAAAGATCCCAACTTCTGCTGAGTTAGAACAAACAACACAACCACAGACACACACTGGATGAATGAAGTGATTCTGGTCCAGATGCCAACAACAGAACCGTCCTTTGAAGGAGAACTTAAAGACAAAAGATGGAACAGCTGGACTTGAACCTGGGATCTTCAGCTTCAGAGGTGTGGGTCCAAACCACTGGACCAGCATGACATGTGTGTTGACTGCTCATCATGATTAGAACAACTACACCACAAAGATCATCTGCCTTTGACCTCCTCATGGGATTTATTGTGGATTCACATCAGCCCAACACAAACTACAAGCACACGCTTCCACTTTGACTCCAGTGTCAAC